AGCAGTCCGTGTACTGCACCTATGAAGGAAGGTTAGATTTGCCATGTGAAGGGCAATTCTGTACTGATTTGAGATGAGATCAAATAGCATGCAGTATGATTATCCTGGGTTTTTTTTACCCTGCAGATGAGCCAGCAGTGTGCCCAGGTGGCCAAAAAGGCCAATGGGATACTGGCGTGTATCAAGAATAGTGTGACCAGCAGGAGCAGGGAAGTGATCCTGCCCCTGTACTCGGCACTGGTGAGGCTGCACCTGGAATATTGTGTCCATTTAAGAATAGGGTGGATGAGCTACTTGAGGATATGGTTTAATGGGGATTAGGGATGGTTGAACTCGATGATCTCTAAGGTCTTTTCCAACCTAGAAATCTATGAATCTATGATCTTGGTCATTTAAATGTCTTGTTCTCTGACCTCTCTGTATGTCTGCTACCTGGCTATACTCTACATGAAGCACCATTTCTTTCACATGTTGTGTTTTGTGAAACAGTATCTTCTTTTATTTGCTTTCACTGTCTGTAAAAATCAGCTAGTGAGACCTAGTTGTCATATGATAGTACAACCTAAAGGCAGTATACGAAACTGTCAAGTGAAAATGCAGTCAAAATATGCTGCAAATCTACTTTGCCTAATTACAAATGTCACGGTATGGAGATGTGAGTTATCTTTAAAGCTTCTTTTAAATGTGTTGGGCATATTATTGGAATATAGCATATTTTATGATAACATCTAATAACCAGTTTTATAAAAAATTGCTTTTGTTGAAGAAATACTCTATTTTAAAAAACAAATTATAATCAGAAGTTGATGGATGAAATTCTTAAGTTAATGCCATATAAAAAGGTAATAATCAAAATGACACAGGTGAGTTTTGTTTACAAGTTTACAATTGTGACAGCAATTCACATTCCTTATTTGTTTAATCCTTCTTGTCTATGCAATACATTATAAATATTTACTGTTAAGTGCTAAGTGAAAAGCATGGAATATGATCCTTGTTAGCCACTACCAGAAATAATTCTGTGCTATGGAGTATGTTTAGATGCCACAAAACCAGAGAAGGTGTTCCTACTCTAACTGCCTAAGTCAAGTAGCCTGTTTCTACTTTTACTAATGCTACTGGTCATCTGGCATAGTGCTGTTAAACTCAGGGAGGCTGTGGTGACTTTGTGTTAGTGTAAGGAAGGCATAGAGCCTAAAGATGTATTTGTGTAAAAATGCACATCAGTGGGTTGGGTGGAAGGTGAAGTTTCTTCAATCTCTGTGTCCTAGATTCCCTGAGTTTGTTTCTGCTGGAGCATTTCTCCCTTGAAATTCAGGGTCACTAACCTTATTTCAGCCGATGGATGACTGACTGCTGAGATGCTGTCACCTGTCCTGATGGGCTGAGCAGTCGGTCAGTACTCGCCTAATGATTGCCAGTAATGGCTGCTCAAAGGATGGGAGAGTACGGGTATTGTAGGTGACTTAGCACGCTGGAGCAGTTGGTGGTGTTAGGAGGACTTAAGCCAAACAGTACAGCACTTTTCCCGAAGAATAAATGTTAGTAGGTTTTAACTGGAACAGCCAACTTTATTTCTACTCTGAAAAGTTTCTGAAAATTATGTAAGCTGTGCAGTGCATTAAAACAACATTGCAAACTGATGTGTGTTACATGAGGACATGAAAACTGCTGCTTCAGGTTATTAATGCCAAATACAACTGAGAAGATTCCCAGAGGTCAGAAAGAATATATTGAGGAGATCATTATTACCAGAGTGTTTGGCAAGGTATCAAATGAATGCTGTAAATAGGACAGAACTATGATGATAAAAATATCTGAACCAAAATGCTGTGCTGTATATCAATACAGAACATAAACTAACTACTGAAAGGCAAAGTGCTCTGTGGAAAGATAATTTATTTATGAAAAGGCATAGGGAGGTGCATAATGGTGGAGAGGCAGGGATGAAGGGGTGCTTGATTTTTAAGCTATCAGTGAGCTCTACTAAGCTCACTGATAGCTTCAAAGCGCTACTGCTTCTTGTCTCTGCTGGCAGGTATTGCATGTTGCACTGCATTTTTACCTTTGTTATTCTTTTGTTCGTTAAAGCTCCTCTTCGACGCTGCTGGAGGGAGGGGGGCTTCGTGTCAAAGGTCATTTTTGCTGAAGTTGGTGCTGAAAAAAGACCAGTTGTGTAACAGCGTTAGCTGGATTTACGCTATTATGTAATTTCAAAAGCATTAGGAGCATAAATGCAGTCTCCACGTCTTCCATGAAAGTGGAAGTACTGGGGAGTATGTTGGATTTATAGGATTTACAGAGAAAACAGAATGTTAGCTGGAATGCCAAAATCAGTGTCATTTTAGGCAATTCCCAGAAGGTGTGTTCTGACCCATGTAATGTTCAGAAATACATAGGGGACTCTAACGTTTCTCAATTAAAGTTGAGTCTGTCTGCTGTATGGGGTATTTGGGACTATTCTCTTAAGAGTTACACACAGTGTGAAGAACCTGCAGCAGAAAAGTAATACATGGAGTTGTTTTTTCATAAAGCTAAATATGCCCATGAATAAAATGAACTCCAAGGTGTTTTTTAAAAAGAATTAGTTCAGAAGGATATCTGCAAAGTATTTTACTATATACAGTCAACCTGTACATAAATAGGTTGTGCTACCAAGGACCTTTTAGACTTGGAAGTCAAGTCTTGGATTTCATTTTGTCATCAGCAAAATTCCACTTGTGCTGAATGGTTTGGGAAACTTCACTGTTAGGAAAATGTCTAAAGATTTGTGTGCAATAATGTACGCACTTTAAGAAATGCTCATATATATATAAAAACCCCACAGGCATTAGAGTATTAGGGTTTTTTTTCAATGTGCAACACTTATCAAAAAGCTACATGCTCATAGTTTGACTGAAGCATCATGAATGTCAATTTTAAGGATCTTATCCCACTCTAGTTTGTCTGAGAGTGTGTCCACTAACAGCAAGAGAATGACAGCTATTAAACTAGCTAAACTGGAGAATGAGGCCTCAGTGAAATAAGAGCATTGCTGTCTTGCTCTGTCCAGAAACAGACAGCAGGGCTGAGGAGAAAGGAGAGACCAAGTGAAAACAATCTTTTCGGTCTTCTTTGTATTCTGCCAGAAGAAATAAAACAGGCATAACTAGTGCTCCTACCTTTCTAATTATAGATTGTGCTCCTTCTGTTACTGTTGCAGTGATTTTCCCCTTTTTATCGTTCAACATTGTGCATGTGATTGATTCAGCTTATCTAACTCCAGTTTTCTAGAGGTTTGGTACCCTGGTCTAAGTTGCTCCCTGCAGATTACCTTTCTAGTCAGTGAAAACAGAGACAATTACCTTCATAGAAGGAGCCATTTCACTTGGCAGTTTTAGAACTTGTTAGGTCATTAGTCTGTAAGATATTTTATGGCTTAGGAACATAAAATAAAAGTATTTGAAGCGTGGCCAGCAGGTCTAGGGAAATGATTCTGCCCCTCTACTCTGCTCTTGTGAGATCCCACCTGGAATACTGTGTTCAGCTCTGGAGTCCCCAGCACAAGAAGGACATGGAGCTGCTGGAGAGGGTCCAGAGGAGAGCCACGAAGATGATCCGAGGGCTGGAGGACCTCTGCTATGAAGACAGGCTGAGAGAGTTGGGGCTGTTCAGCCTGGAGAAGAGAAGGCTCTGGGGTGATCTTATAGCAGCTTTCCAGTACCTAAAGAGGGCCTACAGGAAAGCTGGAGAGGGACTTTTTACAAGGGTGTGTAGTGATAGGATAAGGGGCAATGGCTTTAAACTGAAAGAGGACAGATTTAGATTAGATATAAGGAAGAAATTTTTCACTCTGAGAGTGGTGAGGTACTGGAGCAGGTTGCCCAGAGAAGTTGTAGATGCCCCATCCCTGGAAGTGTTCAAGGCCAGGTTGGATGAGGCTTTGGGCAACCTGGTGTAGTGGAGGGTTTCCCTGCCCATGGCAGGGGAGTTGAAACAGATGATCTTTGAGGTCCCTTCCAACCCAAACCATTCCATGATTTGTGTCGGCGAAAATTATTTGTTCATAGAACGTTGTCTGAAAGAATAGAGCATTACTTGCATCTGCCTTCTGACCTGTGGTTTGTAAAACACAGTCCTAAACAGAGGACCTTCAGCAATAGATACTGCTGAGGCTAAAAAAAGGACCTGACGTAAAATGCGATGTGCCACATGGCAAATAGGAATCTTATCTCATTTTCCCTCCTGCTGCCACAAAATTATATTGCTTTTGTATACCTAAAAGTAAGAAGAAAAGACTCTGTTCCAGGAATTAGGCAGTGGGATTTTTTAATTAATCTCTAGTGTATTTTGGTACACACTTGCAATCTTACAGAGTTTGTTCAAAGGAGAATTAGAACCACTAGAATTGTATTTCTGAATTTTTCACAATCATTTCTTTAGTTCTTGTCTGCCAACGCGCACTACAGGATACAAGACTGATTATAATGTGCTCTCCTTTTGTTACTAGGTCAGTACTTCTAATTCTGAGCTTGTCTGCGTCACTGGGAGTATTGGATAATTTACTCGGAAGGAAGCCTCCGACATGCTCAGAGTTAGTTTACTCAGCAAGAAAGCATCTGTGCAGAAAAGCTTATTGATTACTCTAAGAATGCAATTTAACTGTTCTGAAGAGTCTATGTGGGCCAGAACATATATTCCAGATCAGTAAATTAAGATGATTCTGTGTTTGAATGTGTATGCTCTACGTGAAATGAGTGACTTCTAAAAGGTTTCTGTGCTGTTTAGACTACGTGTTCACTGTCTAGATTTTTTTCACCTTCTTTCTCTGTCTTTCCCAAGACATTCTTCCTTGAAATAAATTAAAAAGAAAATAAAATTGTAGCATATGGAAACAGATTTGATTGGTTTTGTCTAATTTGAAATATCAATAAATTATTTTGAAGTGCATCTTTTAAATGTACCTAATATGTGTCTTTTTAAATACTTATCACTATTTCTGTTCTATTTTTTGTTTCTAGTTACAAGAAAACACATGAGACCCTGAGCCATGCAGGACAAAAAGCAACAGCAGCTATCAGCAATGTAGGAACTGCTATCAGCAAGAAGTTTGGAGATATGAGGTATAGGGATCTGCTGCTTCTCTGGTCTTATTTTGAGGACAAAAGTATAAGTTGTCTGTTAGCTCTTCTTTTCTCTCTGTGTTAGTTTGTAAAGGTTCAAGTAGTTTGCAGTCAAAAGTATTTTACAACATTCATGGTTTCGGCCAAAAAGAAAGGGTAATGATGAATAAAGATATAGTTCTTATTGGAGTCCTGGTTAAAAAAAAAAAAGTGCAATTTGAAATCCTTTTGGAATAACTTTGCAAGCTCAAGGAAGTGTACAAGTAAAATGGAACAAAAAAGTGCTGTTAGATCTTTATTAATCCAATTTTATTCACACATGAATCCTGGAGACCAACATCATCTGAAGAAAATAAGCCTGCCTTGGAGCTGCTTGTGGAAAGAGAAGTCAATAAAATGTTTCAGGCTGTGTTTTATCAGCTTTTTAAAGATGTGCAATGGCAAAGTTTTGTTCTGCGGTTGTATTTTTAAAAAAAAGATGCAATGAAAATAACAGGAGTTGAGGTCAGGAGAAGAACTGAGTAAGTACAACTTAAATGTCAGGCTTTATATGTTGATGTATCTTTAAAAAATGTTGATCTTAAAGTTCCTCAGAATGAGAGCATAAATGAAGAAATTGTACGCTGTAAACCAGCACCTCAGTTTTCAACTTGGTGGCAGGATTACAGGATTTCTTCTCAGGTGTTTCAGGGAGTTGATTTTTTGTGATGAAATAAATAGACATGGGCAACTCTATATTGTTTGAGCTGCAGAATTAGAGTCTCACTTATTAGAGATGTTGGTATGTACTCACTTTTTGGTTACTTTGTAATGAATGAGGTAACCATATCCTAAGAACTGTGTGAATCCATTTTACAGTATCTTAAATATATATGCAGGGTTTTTTTGCTGCAAATGGGTGAAGCATAGCTCTTGGCAGGTAAAACTTTTTTTTTCCACTTTTAAAATTTTTAATCTGAATCTTAAGCCTTTAGAGCCCCTCCTTCATACCCTACCTTTTACATACAGCTTAATAAACCCTCCACAGAAGTACTACTGTTTTTCTAGGTAAAACTAAGAAAGAAAAGTCTTCATCACTGTATTATCTGCTTTACAATGTCTTTTCCCATGTTGCAGTTTGAAATGGAAATCTAGTGAGTCACTTGCAACCAGAGTATGAACATAAACTAAAAATTGTTTGACTCGATGCAGTTAAACATCCATAGGTAGCATATGCCCAGAAAAGGATATAAGAATAAGGAGGTGTGCAGTTACAGTTTCCTAGTACTTTTTTTAGCATTCAGCACTCTGAGAGCTGAAAACTTTCTAAAACAGAGGTTTGAGCTTTCATTTAAAAGTCTTTGAAGGGTTTTTCTTCATGAATTTGCCTTTTTTTTTTTACTTTATTTTAACTTGTATGAGCTTTTGACATTTGTAATGCCTCCTGTCTGCCCAGATGAACAGATAGTTACATGATAAAGCATGTCGTTAATTCATTCGTTCATTCATTCCCTATTCTGAGTCTCCCTGGTCTTTCCTTTGATGCCTTCTGGCTCTTCTATTATGAGAAACGGTGAGTGTAGTCCTTCTGCTGTCCTTTATGTCACTCAAGATTTCCTGTGGTTTTATCATATTTCACTTCAGTTCCCTCTTTTCCAGGCTGAGCCTCCAGTTGCCTGAGTTTGTTTCACAAGCCTCTTTCCTACCTTTGTTTATTCTTATTGCCTTCTCTGCATTTATAGTTGTATTCTGTATTTTTGAGAAATGCACGAGATGCATTAGCTGCATGTGGCACCAACATACCCTCTGTTTCATTTTATATTCTTTCCTAACACTACCTCCTGTAACAAAGACAAGCCCAGTGCTCAGTGAACAGCTCCTGTTGCTGCTTCCATGCTTTAGATGCTACAGCAGTGACCAGAATTGGTGTGTGCAAATACCTTGAACGCTGGCTCTTCATCATAGAGGGAAGGATGGCTCTCACAGTTCAGTACTTCTCAGGTTCTGATGTTTGTGCTTTGCATAGGGTGTGAGATTAACTGCAAAGGCAGAAATACCTTCACTGTAATAGAGCATGTTTTTCCTTTAATATTTCCCTTAATTAATGACTGCTACCAAATTCCTTTGTCCTACTTGTCAGTACCAGCCCCCACCCCCGTGGTGATCATGCTTCTGACTAGCGCTTGGAAAGCAGATGGGTGGTATTTATCCTGTTAGCCCTTTAGCCAAGGGCTCAAAGTAGAGGCTAAGTCCATAAGCATTTTGATTAATCGAGAAGCTTGTTTCTAGTAGCTTTTTCTGATCAAAATGGTTACCTTGAATCTGGTTGGGAATTTTTCAGGAAAATATGAACTACTAGCACCGCCACTTTTTGTGGACACTTGCTGTTTTCAGTTAAGTTCTTGGCACTTGATGATGAAGATGCAAGAGCTATAGCCAATATCCCCTGGTTACATAAAGCATGGAGCGACTTGGGCCTTCTGCACCT